CCCCCGCACCTGGGCCCGCGCACCTGGGCCCCCGCACCTGGGCCCCCGCACCTGGGCCCGCGCACCTAGGCCCGCGCACCTGGGCCCGTGCACCTGGACCGTGTTACCACCTGCAGTTACAGAGCTGGAAACTGAGGCTCGGAGAAGCCATTACGTCCTTCCGAAAAGGCGGAGTCTAGAGCATCATCCTTGGCATTCCAGAAAACTCAGGACGCCCGACAGCACCCTGGCCTCCCTGGTGGGCACTCATTAGTCCGGTTTTCAGTGACTTGGCAGAAACGGAGCCTCGAAGACCCCTCCTCTCTGCCCCAGACAGGTGTCATGGGCATCTGGGGACCCTGGGACAGGGGCTCCATCCTGAAGGTGGGCAGGGTGAGGGGGCACCCGAAGGGGGTGCAGGGACCCCTGTGGCAGCCCCGGGGGTGGCTGCGTCCTGGAATGAACAGCTCCCTGGGCCAGTGAAGCAGAAAATTCGCAGTGGAGTCTGATTTTCATGCCAGGGGCAAGCAGCGGCTCCGAGGAAGGCAGCCGCAAAAATGAGTAATTTCAAGTGACAGGTCTAATTTTAGAGGCGGATTCAAAAGCTTTTGTGAGGAGGAGGGGAAAAGGCAAACCACCACCAAAAAGGAATTTAGAAACGACTCAATGTTAAAGCCAACCTGCACTTGATGGGAAAGTGTGGAAACCACGCGTGGGGTCTCACTGGGGGCGGTTTGCCTGCGGGGGCCCCGGGCAGGGTCGAGACACTTTGGGTGGTCAGGACCGGCGGGGGGGCCGCCGTCATGCACGGGGGAGCCGGGGTGCCCCGCCCCCCACCCCGAGTGTGCTGGAGCTGAGGCTGAGATGCACTGCTTTAGGACAAGAGGCCTGAAACTCGGTGACAGCAGGCTGGACACGCCGGGTCACGCCTGGCGCGCCACGAGTGTGGCTGGCGCAGACACCATCTGCTGTGACCTTGAGCACGTCCTTGGCCCTCTGTGAGCCTCGGTTCTTCCTCCAGGGAACGGCGGCACCGTCTGGGGCTGTCCTCAGGTCACTGGGAGGCGGCCAGCTGCATTACAGGTTTTGGCCCACAGAGCAGCCCCCCGTAGGGCCCAAACTAAGGGGCACTCAGGTGCCAGCTCGGAGCCGGCCAGCTGTGTCGGGCTCGCTCCCCTTGGACGATCAGGCGGCAGGGCGGGGCCTGGACAGGCCCGCAGTGGGGAGGCGGGCTTGCAGCTCGCCTCCGTTAGAGTGTCCAGGGGCCAGGCGCGGGCCCTTTGACACACGGTGTCGGGCAAGCCGACACAAGGAAAACAACCGCACCGCTCGCTTGGCTCAAACTGGAGCAAAGATGCAAACACGAGACGTGGATCAAGACTCTTAGAAGGTGGCCCGGCAGTGTGCGCTTTGCAGACGCCGCCAGGCCCAGGCGCAGGCCAGGCCGTGAGCACTGCAGCCCGGGCGCTGTTGCCGGGGATGTATCTGGCGCAGCCACGCTGGGAATCGGCAGGGCGGGACCTCGAAAAATGAAAACCAGAGCAGCCCTGTGGGCCGCACCCCGCCCGCCTCGGTCTCTAGCCAGCGGAGCTCACGCCGCACGCCCCTGTCTGAAGCCGCCCCGTCGCCG